CTACATACCATTTTTTCTTAAAAAACGAGAGCTACAAATTTTTTCTTCCCACAACAAATTTACAACAAAAACACTACAATTAATGCCGTAGTTAACTTTTCCAAATTCGAAAAGTGTAGTGCTAACTTGACACACATATTATTAAGCTTACTATCATGATACAATAATTTTTAGAAGGTAGTTTCACTTCAAAATTTTTGACATAAACCGTGTCTTTGACAAACACGCAATGTGGCCACTGCTACGATATAGAACTTGGGGATTTTCGCTTGTTATTTTAGAAATTTTTTAACAGAACATGTAAAGATGTATATGTTTCATAACTGATTTTTACTATAAATATACGTATTTAATACATAAATTTTTGCCACTGCTAATCACACGAATAAAAATCATAAAAATGAAAATATAACGGCAATATTTCTTGTTTATAATGGATTAGATCCATCGCACACCACGGACTTTATCGGCCGCCGATTTAGATAGGCTCGCTAGTCTTTCCATTGCACCACAACTAATTGGTCGGAGCGATTAAGTTGGTGTAGTGTGCGCACCTCCATACATCTTCATGTACATATTTAAAGCGAGCCCTACTATTTAAATAGGCGACCGATAAAGTCTGTGGTATGCGGTGGCTCTTATAGCTGTATCCTTACATCTATTCCGTGTGTTGCAATATCCACGAAAGCAGCAGTTAATTTTTTATGAAGCAAATTATTAAAAAATATTCGAAAATTATTATTTATTTTTCCAACGTCAAAAGCTGGAATTTTTTTTAAGTTGGTACAACAAAAAATACGAAACACGTTTTCTGACAGATAGCTAACATGGCGGATAAGAAGAAGAAGTGAAACTACCTTCTAAACATTATTGTATCATGCTTACTATATTAAATAAAAAACTTTTTTCAATTATCTTCATTATAAACAAAATGGCGCCATTTACATTTGAGCCCTCTCATTAAGCCATGGACACCCGTTTTTGTGACGGTATCTGCTGCTCTCTGCCAATTAATTTTGAAATGCTGCTAATTTTAGATGTCTTTAACTATTTTCTTTCAATAATTTTCAACGGGTCGCCATTGTGAACAGTTTGATGGGTCGTGGTCCTTTTGAACAATATCTGCCCCTTATCTGACATACCAGTTCATGGTAAGGGGGTTGTAATGGCTCAATGCTAAATCGGGTTAGAACAGAACTGAGCCTTTTTGTTGCTTTATGAACAACATTTTCGGACCACCCTGATGTACATACATATTTTTAACTTGTATTTTTTCGTTCAATTTAGACATCATAAAAGCACAAAAAAAAGGACAAAATGCTATAAACGGCTTCTAACATAAACTTTCTTTGGTGCATTTAATAACATTTTATACACATCCATGGCGTAGTTAAAGTTCTGAAAAATTTTTAAATAGAATTTCTTTATATTTTATTTTTTGCCCTGTTTCTGTTTACAAAAATTGCAAAATATTGTACAGCACTGACGTACTTATTTTCACAGGTGTTTTTGTTGTTGGCTCTTTGATTACGTTTGCAAAGCATTAAAAATAAAATATCACTTAGGCCATCTCGGCTAAATGCCAACAGGAAATTATATTTATGTACTTTGTTTTTGAGATTAAATACTTATAAGCTTAACATCGCACGCAGTTAAGCGAACCGACCTGCATAGACAGATATAGCCCTGTAGAGAAATCAACAAGGTGGAGAGTGGCAATGTGGACATCTTTTGTATGGTGCGCGGATTGCACTGTTTGCAGAGCTGTCCCATTGGAAAGCCAGTATTTATCGTGTAACCCGTGCACCAAGAAAAGGCTTTTCAAGCCTCCGAGAATATCCCTTTTGAATTTAAAGGCCTGGCCCCAACTGTCTCTTCCGTTTTACTATGATGCTCCGACTTAAAAACAAATCTCGTTTCGATTGGCTCTAAAAATCAGCCAGGTAGCAACTTTAATACTAGAGTCACTAAAAAAAGGTTTATTCATCGGTGCCTAACTTCAACACAGACTCTGGATGAAAGAGAAAAGCGCATTCCAAATAATTTCGGAAGCGATGACAAATTTGATGACGGAATTCCAAAAACCATAACGAAAAGATTGCGAAAGCTTTGGAAGAAGAAAAGAAAATATATTTGAATTAAAGCATAAAGAGCATTTGTTGTAAGATATACAGCCTTATTCTGTATCACGAATGATTTTAGCCGGTTCAAACGCAACCGAGACCATTGCAACGTAAGGCCTGGGTTCAAGCCCTGGTCAAAGCAATATCGGAAAAAAATATAGGAAAAAGGTTTTGTCTTAATAGCGGTCGCCCCTCGGCAGGCAATGGCAAACCCCCGAGTGTATTTCTGCCATGAAAAACAGCGTCTCATAAAAATACAATCGCCCTTCGGAGTTAGCGTTAAACTGTAGATCCCTCCCCTTTGTGTGACAACATCAAGGCGCACAACACAAATCGGAGCAGAAGCTCAGCAAAATACTAACATACATGTTTACATGTGTAAACGCCATTTTATTATTATTATTATTATTGTCATTATGTATTATTACATACAGTGCCGGACAAAAGTATTGGCACAGAGAATTTTTCGCAATATATGCAAAGTTTTTTATTCTAATTTATTTTCAATATTTTTTAATAAAAATATAGTTCGTACTTCACCAAAAAACATAAAAACAAAATCTCTAAACTTTGTGCAAAACTCAGGAAAATTCATTAAATTTGCATACTAATTTGCAACTTTTTATTCAGATTTTTTAGAGAAATTCTAAGGATGTAGTTTTATAGCCCAACTAATTTTAGTATAACAAAGTGCAAGTTTGAAGTATCTAAAAAATTTCGTTGATTTTTGGACATTTCTTTAGTAGAAGGTGTTGCTCATTTCTCCATACAAAAAAATAATTGTCGAACATACTTTGTACGGAAGAACCTGACTGAAAAAAAATTGCCAAAAATCAATGCGATTTTTTAGCACCTTCAAGCTTGCACTTTTTCTAAAAAATCTGAATAGAAAGTTGCAAATAAGTATGCAAATTTATTGAATTTTCCTGAGTTTTGCACAAAATTTAGAGATTTAGTTTTTATGTTTTTTGGTGTAGGACGAACTATATATTTATAAAAAATTATCGAAAATAAATTAGAATAAAAAACTTTTCAGATATTGCGAAAAATTCTATGTGCCAATACTTTTGTCCGGCACTGTATGTATGTATGTATATCGTTATCTAAAGAATGAGCTTCAGAGCAGAGTTTTCTTCGTAAACTTGAACTATACTAAAAGTTACTAGATTCTTAACGTATCTTTAGAAGTGTTAAAGTACCAGAGAATTTAGTAAATGAGATGCCCTAAGCCCGCTGGGTATTAGCTACTATTTCATAACAACATTTCTAAGCGATTTCCTCTCATTATGCTAGGCTCTTGGCGGGATTTAAAAATGTAAACTGGGACGATATGTCCGCAGTCGTGAAAACAAACATATCGTTTCAAATCAATTCTTCCTAATTGGCGATTTCGCAATTAATAAATGGAAATAATTGTAGTACATATTTATTAAAAACAAAGTATGGTTTTCTTTGAATTAAGTCAGAAATGCGGTCGCATGTTTGTACACCTCGGCATTTGCGCTTATGTTTATGTCTAGGGTGTGAGTTCGTAAGAAGTATGCTCGCATGAAAATATGTATGTACATATGTGCATATGTATATACATACAACATAGGTTCATACATATTTAATGTAGAATGTACATATTTATCTATGTACATTATCAGGGAAGCCAACTCGTCGGGAATTCCTCGATTTGCGGGGAATTTCAGTTTGCGGAGGGAATCGGAGAAAGGAACGTTTTTTGTGTGGAATATCAGTTTACGTGGGAAATCGGGGTTTGAACTGTTTCTTTGTGAGGAATTAGGTGTTAACTAATTTTCAGCCACTTGAAACTTGCTTTTTATTATACTAGAATTGAGTGCGCTACAAAATTTTCAAAAATCTTTCTAGAAAATTAAAAATTAAAAGCTCGAAATTTTTACGAAAGTTTGTTGATTTTTTTTTTTAATATTGAACTAAGTTTGAATCATGGATTTATATGGATTTGTTAAAGAACGAATCATATTAAAAAATAAGTAAAATTAATAATTGTGAAAACTGGTCCAAATTGGGATCGACTGCATTTTTTCGACTACTGTATGTATGTATGTAAATATTTCATTGTCGAAATCGAAGAATTACGAAAAATTAGTTGGCTACCCTAGTACATATGTATGTACATAAGTATTTAGATATCCACATAAATCGTATTGGCAAAGTTTAACTTTGCTCATCAGTGCCAGCCGGAAGTGATGACATTTTTTTTCACTTTTTCCTTCGCATACTTCACATACGTATGTACATATGTATGTACATATGTGCATATGGACTTATTCGGACCGGGAGTCATTTGCCAGTGAATTGGATGTAAGAATATACAAATATACATAGGGGAACACAATGACGACATGGTATATTAATTAATATTCATACAACCAAGTATATTTACATTCATACATACATACATACTATGTCATTCTGAATGTTTTTATTTAGTTTATAGACGTATGAATGTGGACATGTGTTCCATCGAGTAGCAAAACTCACGATGGAAGAATGTGTATTGTAAAATCAAAAAATAAAAATAAACAAAAAATTAAGAACTATAAGGAAGCGCAATAAAAAAGCCTAAATAAGATAATGAAATATGTATATGTTTGGAAGAGTGAAATATTTTATTGAACATCTTAATTAATATACCTATACAATTAATTAATTGTAAATACTTTTGTTTTTTTTTAATTACAGATAACATAATCCATCACATAAATCCATCCAATTAGTGGTCAACAACGTCCATCACAATTAGCATTGATTAATGTAAGAGGAGGTCCATTAAAAACTGCGAAAGTTATATGTATGTTCATACATACATACATAAAGTACAATCAAATCGAATATATCCCCTGTCAATGAAATTATAAATCAGCCAAGTAGCCAAGCAACTTAGCGGCGATCCAACACCACTTTTGCCGAAAAATACTTGCATACATAATACATATAATAGGAAATATCTAAGCCGTAAGCAATAGATTTATTTTTAAGAGAATCTTCATAAATTGCTCTTACATTGCCATGGACAAATGCGATGCTTGAACGTTTTCGTTTGGGTAATTTAAGTGCAAATTGTCGTTTACGAAGTGAAGAACTGGCGCGCGATAAGAAACAACAACGCCAACAATGTGTCACTGTCCTGCTTTTAGATGACACAACGCACACCTTTCGGATAGAGGTACGTACGTATGTACATACATACATAACAACAAAACCAAAGTTATGCTTAGTTACATAGTTGGAAAAATCATAACTAATCAGGGCAGGGTTCCAACTGCGCAGCGCCAAAACGATAAGTAGCCTACTCATTTCAACAGTTGACCAACCAACCATCCAACCATGGCGTACATTTCATCTGCTAATATAAAATCGTCTATAATTCAAATGTGTATTCGTATTTTCACTACAACATACCGCAATACTAAGTACTTATGTACCTACATACATACATATCTACTAATGACTAAATAGAAAGTACTCAGACTGATAGCTATCCATATCATAATGTTGTAGGAGACTACGTTGTGCGCATTTATGTTTTAATATGTTTAAATGCTGAATTGCTTTCTTTTTGATTGTTTATTGTTTCGTTGAGTAGTGGTAAGCGCACTCATCCGGGCATTCGCATAGCGCAGAGCATAAAAAAAATAAAAATAAAAATACAAAGCAAAAAGCCTTCGTTCGCATTGCCATTCGTTTTGTGCTCTTTGATAGTGTAGAATCAATGTGCGTACTAGGTATGATAATCTCGAAAACAGGTAAAACCCTGAAACTGTTTGAAATACAGTAAAACCTCTATATATGGTGGTTTTGGCCTGTTCTAATTGCTAGGCTCAACATTAAACGAATGTCATATGGGATTATGTCAAATAGTTCCTTACAATATACATATATAAATCCGAGAAAAAACATTGATGTTTTAAATCGGGTGGACGTTTTTGCTGCTATAAGGCAGACGCAAGCTTGCAGCCACACTTAATAGAGTAAGCCAGAGTGTTATTATTTTTTTATGGATACCGTTACAAAACTAAAAATATCGAGAATGCAAACCTATTGAGTCTAATCGAATGACTGCGGGATCCCGAGATGAAATTAAAAATCTCAAAATCTCGTAAATAAAATGAAAAAAATATTCCAAATATCGCCACCTCTAGTTAACAACCATTGCCCATCGCTCATAGTACCCACCGATGGCTTTCCATTTCAAGATCTTTGCTTTCTTTTGCTATTTATGTAGGTACATACCTCTTCTTAGCTTTTTGTTTTATGTTTTTTATTTAATTTTTTAATTGCTTTGTAATTTAAAATACAAGTGCAGTGCAATGAAATTGATCATTGCTACATGCAGTTATGTATGTACTTACTATGTATGTATGTATAGATATGTTGGCCTGGCCAACAAATGAACTTGAGAGCCACAGCGTACAAGAAACATAAAACGCACAAATGTTTAATGAATTTCAAAACAAACCTTCATGCTTATGCATGCATGTATGCACGATATACATAATATTGTCATGTACTTATAATAAAAAATCTGCGACAGCGTGATTTATTTTATATACTACATTTATTCAGTATGATTTGTACGTGGATTTTAGTGCAATATGCATATGGGGTGTTCCATGCCAAAGCGAGCGGGGTTCATACTTCATGTGTTTAATTTGTTTAAAATTTTTAGGTTTGATGCATAAACATAAATAATAAATAAATATGTAATTTTAGCTTGATTAATACATTTTTAAAAACTTTACAGCTCAAAAACCAAAACAAATCGATTTATTAGTTTTCAAAATATCTCGAAAATACCACATACAATTCGCTATGAAAAGGAATAATTAAAAATTTTTTTTTTCTTTAAAATTTTTTACATACACATTTTTTGATAAAAAAATTAGTTTTTGAAAATATGCAATCTCAAAAAAATTGAAAAAAAAATCACAATGGTAATGGCACCCCTCTACAATAATTTGAGTTATACATTTTTTTTACACCGAAGTTGAGTAAAATGAGTACATTACAAATTTTTTAAATTTTTTTAGAATTTTTTTGAGTATGCAGTTTTGCAACCAAAGTCGATTAAAGAAACTCGACAGCTAGTACGATAAAGAAATCGAAATGTATGTTAAAGAAAGTCAGATCAACAAGAAATATACATGTACATCATGTTTTTTATCCATCTGAAAGACTAAAAAATTCTATAAAAATTTATTATGTTTCAAATGCAACCGTGGACAACAGCTGGCAGGGAAACTTGCAAGATTCTCATCATGAGAAGAAGGACTTTGTAGGACGTATTTCGGAAGGCCTTTGGAGGAATTCTTATAAAACCGCTCCTTTAATTCACAAAAATCTTTCTTCTTTAAAGTTTTTATTTAAGGTTCATAGCAAATATGTTTTATTGCATTCTAAAATGCATTTTTAAATTCCTTTGTAATGCTAAATAATATAAGCTTATACTTTCGCGTAAATTGTAAATAGAAAAAGTCCTTCTAGAATCCATGCAGGGAAGCTCTTTCTGCATCCCTTCTTGGGAGTAGGCCTTTTAGATTAATTTAAGAAGGCCTACCTAAATTATCTTCTGCACTGTTAAAGTAAAATTTTCTGATGGTATTGAGGAATACGAACTGCTCTTACTTGTTTCTGACTCATTTACCTCAAAATAATTGTTTGCACTGCATAAAATAAGACTACGCAAAGACATTCATATAGCGGGCTTATCAATATTTTAATCAGAAATAAAATATATCGACAAATTTAGTCACGAACACACACATACAAATATAAATGCAAGTTAGCTTTCAATACTTTATCAGTGATTTATTGTGCTTTTTATCACAACAATCTACTATAGACAAGTTTTTAACTCGAAAAAAGACCAATGGCCTTATTCATAAAAAATAAAGTAGCTTTAAAAAAGGTTTATAAACTGAAAAATGTATGAAAACGTCATTTTATAAAGCTCTTTAAACCTACTTTATTTTTTATGAATAAGGCCACAAGTCTACTACAGTAAATATTGCATACATATATAAATCGGGCGGAACCTATACATAGTATCTACTTATTTCGGCATGGGATTTTTTAGTAAACAGTCGAAATTACATATCTATGTATGATTTTTTTTTTTAATAGGACAATAGATAATTTATAAACATCAACCATGTATGTGTATGTATGAAAATCTCTTACAAAATAACTGGCATCCTTACAGGACACTCTAGACTAAATAAGATGGTATATGAATAGACAGTTGATTTTTTGTAATGATCTCTGTCGGTGCTGTGACTCAACTAGGTAGACAGGAAATCATATTCTCATTGCGTGTGGTACCGTCTGCATATTAGCGAAGTCCAGACTCTTTGTGGTTACCGCTTGAGCACATTCGCTCCGAACTTTCTGAGCGATACACTCAAATTAGAAACTTTGTGAAGAGTAGAGATTATATTAGTTCTCCTAAGTGGTACCTCGTATTTTTATAAATATCATAATGGTCGGTTTCCCGTTGTCATATAGACAAGGTTGAACCCGAACTCAGCACAAACGCAAACATCAGACCGCAAGGAAAATCAAACTTATACAACTAAAAATATATGTATCAGTCTCATATTTCCTTATTTTATTTAACATACGCATCCGCTATAACCTCACATATTTCTCCACAGAAACGTGCTAAAGGATCTGAATTACTCGATCAGGTTTTTCATTTCTTAGAGCTATCCGAAAGGGACTACTTTGGATTGCTATTTCCACAAAAGCCCGGTGATGTTGTTGTAAGTACTTATTTACCAAAATAAAAGTTTAACCATTAAAAATATTAATTTCATTTCGTTTATGTTCGTCTATTACAGCGATGGGTAGATGCGCATAAGCAATTTAAAAAACAATGCAGTAGCCTCGCTCTTGAAAATGACACCATTCAAACGCTAGAATTTAGAGTTAAGGTAAAAGTGTTTGTTGACAAAAATATGAGAATTTTTAATGCCTAACCAATGCATACAACTTTGGTGTTGTTGCTTTTATAGTTTTATGTAAGTGATCCCAGTCGTTTGCAAGAGGAATATACCAGATATCAGTTCTATTTGCAAATAAAACGCAATATTCTGCTGGGAAGACTGCCATGCTCTGTCAACACGCAATGTTTACTTGCCAGCTATACTGTGCAATGTAAGTACCGAGCGCACATAACTACATACATACATACATATATATATGTGTTCGCATGGTATAATAGCTTATGTTGGGAAGCTGCCTTTAGTATAATGCGGCATTCCTTTTATTCTTTAAACGACAAGGAATTTTTTGATGAGACCTAATAAGAATATTGACTTGCTACTGTCGGAACTATTTCTTGCAGAATTATTTGCCAGAAGTTCTTCAATGGCTTGCCACCAGTGAGTCATTCGCAATCGTATGCAGCGAATGCCGCATTATACTAAAGCCAGCCTTTCGACATAAGCTACTACATATTCCATACGGAACACATATTATGTATGTATGTATGTATGTAAAATGTTTGTCTGTGATTTATGCACTTTTAGCCGAATTGGGCGATTTCAACCCAGCGGAACATCAGCCAGGATACTTGGGCGACATGCAATTGCTGGTCGAACAAACACCAGATGCCGAGCGAAAGATATCGGAATTACATAAATTGCATCGCGGACAATTACCAGCTGATGCAGAGTATAATTATTTAGAACATGCGAAACGACTTGATTTATACGGCATTGATTTACACAAAGCTACGGTATGTAACGAAACTTATTGATGCAGACAACTTTCCATTATATGAAACAAAATATTCTTCGGTCAATTTAAAAGTTTGTATTTTACAATGTACCTTGCTTAGTTGGGCTCCTCTGTCTTACAGGATTCTAATGGCAAAGACTTGCAGCTAGGCGTATCAGCGATCGGGTTATTAGTTTTTCAAAACGGATTGCGTATAAATACATTTTCCTGGTCGAAAATGGTGAAAGTTTCATTCAAACGCAAAGATTTTTTCATACAGCTGCGCAGAGAACCGGTAAGTTAAAGTAAAAATGATTTGAATTAGCAACATTATCTCTTTATTGTTATAAATAAACAAATGTTAAAATCATACTAAACTTAGAATAATTCTTTTAATATTTAGTCGGAAAGCTATGACACGTTGCTGGGCTTCGGCATGATCTCACACAAGCACGCTAAAGCATTGTGGAAATCTTGTGTGGAACACCATTCTTTCTTCCGTCTGAAACGACCACATCGGCTTCCACGTTTCTTAAACATCAGTCTAGGCTCGAAGTGAGTGTATACTTATACTCGAACGCATAATTTTCAGAGCATTTATTAGCAATTTTTTTTTCTATTACCACTGCAGATTCTACTATTCCGGACGCACAGAGCTGCAGGCTGTGCAAGAGTCCAAGCAGCGCGGCACCGTGCACAAGGCATTTGTGCGTTCGCCGAGCAAACGTCTTATAGCCGCGGGCTCTACCGTTGCCCCGTCCCCGATGGTGAACGGCACCAGCGGCTCGGATAGCAACGGTAGCGTCTCGCATAATGGCAAAGTCACCTCGTCCGCATTGGTAACACATACGTCCATTTTGACTATTACGAAAACGAGCCGTCCACATGACAATAAAGTGACCTCGAAGCAGACTGAAACAATACCGCGAAAGGCCTGGGAACAGCAGAGCGACGAATACGATATACAACTGTAAGCGCCACTACTTCCTGACAGTGCTTTCTTATCTTCAAAAAATAAATTATAATTTACTTGATTTTAGTGACACTGGAATAATAGCTAGACGATTTGATTCACCAATACCGCCAACCTACAGTTCGGGCGCACACAGTCCGATAATGAACTCTATTAATGCTGCATCGCGCCTTGGGCCGCCAATCACTACGCTTATAAATGGCAACACGTCGACTGAGTTGGAAAGTGGTAGCGATTTGGTAACTATACGTCTACAATCCGACGAGCAGGGCCGTTTTGGCTTTAACGTTAAGGGTGGCGTAGATCTTGGACTGCCTGTGCAGGTATCGAAAGTAGTGCCGAACACGCCAGCAGATCGTTGCACACCACGTGTGTGTGAAGGTGATGAGGTTGTCATGATTAATGGGCACGATGTTGTAGGACTGCAACATGATCAGGTCGTGACAATGATACGAGAAAGTCGCAATCAACAGAGCGGTGAACTGTTGCTCACTGTACGCCCAAAGGCGATGCGCGCTATACTATCGGAGGAGGAGCCACTATATCAGTACGTGCCGGAGAACGATGAAATTGGATCTCACTCAAATCTATTGGATGGCGATGCATTATTCACGCAGAGCTTACTGCTTTTGAGCGACGGTCTAGCATCTGGTGCGCTATTGGCACAGTACGAGCTGATGTATCGAAAGAATCCCGAATTGGCGATAACAGAGGCGCGGAAACCGGAAAATATTGCTAAGAATCGGTATCGGGACATATCACCATGTAAGTTAGTTGTACATACAGCAAGTAACGGCTGTAAAAATAAATGATTTTTTTTTTTTTTTAGATGATTGCACGCGCGTTTCACTGGTCACTTCTGCCACCGGCGATTATATCAATGCCAATTATGTAAATATGGAAATACCGAGCGGTGTGGTAAATCGTTATATCGCTACGCAAGGTCCTCTAGCAAATACCACAACAGACTTTTGGCGTATGGTGCAGCAAGAAAGTAGCCATTTGATAGTCATGCTTACCACGGTTATGGAGGCGGGTCGCCAGAAATGCCATCAGTATTGGCCAGTTACTGGCGATGAGTTGCACTTGGGTGATGGTTTTTCGGTCAAATGCCTTAGCGAACAGCCGGATGAGACGGGTAGTTTTGTCTTTCGTGAATTTGTTTTGTGTGATAAGCGCACTGGCGAACAACGTCACATTCAGCACATGCAATATTTAGCTTGGCCCGATCATTGCGTGCCCTCGGATCCGAATCTCTTTATCGAATTCACAGAGCGTGTGCGTGTGGCACGTAATAAAACTTTGCTGCAGGAAATCGAAGAAAGTCTGAAACAAGTGCGGCTACTGGACGCCGATGCCGATGAAAATGGTGGACTGATGAGTGAACGGAAATGTGCTGCCAGCAATGGAGTGACGCCGGAAGATGAGAACCCGGTTTCGACTAGTGTGCATCAGTGAGTATATTTTTATAGAATTAATGTTGGAATTTTATATAATTCCATAACTGAGGATGTGTTAAATCTAAACTTACACACCGCTTGGTTAATAATTGAATGCTTTTAAAAATTACAGGTGTATTAGTGCGGCAAATCCCCCTGTGATAGTGCATTGTTCCGCCGGTATTGGACGTACAGGTGTTCTCATACTAATGGATACAGCATTGGCGCTAATGGAAATCAGAGAGCCCGTTTATCCGTTGGACATAGTGCGCACAATGCGCGATCAGCGTGCCTGTATGGTGCAAAATGTGGTAAGTGGCCCAAATACATATATGCACTGAATTTAGGCAATTGCTGAATAAATGGGTTAATTTTTGGTTATTTTCAATTTTCAGAGCCAATATCGATTTGTGTGTGAGTGCATTTGTGCTGCGTATATGAAGTTGTCACGCTCCAGTGCTGCTCTGGATGATGTTGGAGACAATTAACAATAATTATTAATATATCATACACATCTACAGCCATGTTAAACGCGTATTGTTAATTTTTGTTGCTAACAAGCCAACAAAAACATATATTACTAATCTTTACATATACATACACTTTGTCCAGCCATTAAATGCAGTATATAGTTGACATGGTTAAATCGTTTTATATACATACATATGCAGGTGAGAACAGGCCAAAATGTTTTCTGTGACCGCCATGAACCTTTGCTATCCAACTATGTTCTATTGTATAAATACTTTGTTTAGTGCTTTTTTGTACCACTTACTCACGTATGAGTAGTACCACTTTTCTTAATCCACATTACACATAGCATATTTAAATCAATATATGTATATGTATGCTTATATTTCATAATTGCTCATAGAAATTCTTTTTTGTACGCAATGTTTCGGGCGCATTTTAAATGCGGAATTTTTCAATGTATGTATATTCAATTAAATTACTTTCGATTTAACCATATATTGTGTTAGTGCATTGAATTGCGTATATTTTTGGTAAATTTTACGGAACTTTTGCACTTCTATCTTTGTTTGCCTTTTGGTGCATTAAGACAATTCAAATATGAAGGTATTTTTTTTTTTTGTATAATTACCGGCCAAAAAGATCACCAAGACAATTGATAGAAAAAAATGAATTTACACACAAGTGCTGCAACGCAATTCTAAATTTTTATTGTACGATTTGCATGCTATCAATTAGATACGTCTAACCATATGCGCAATATCAATGTAGTATGTATAAAAATGTGTGAGACAGATATTTTAAGACATGAGATGTGCATACAAAAGTTTAGCAAGTTACACATGCCACAGAAGTGACATGCTTTTATTGCGATATTTGATCATTTAATCGTTTAGAAATTACATACATTGCGTCTACGAAGCGTGGATGACGAATGAAAAATTTTAGGCATAATTTAGCTCCATTAAGAAAGATTTATCAACTTACTAGTATTGTAGCACCAAATAAAATATTTATTGTATCCCCGTACTCACAGCTACATATAACGACCCACTCATTTCAAAAGCTGAATGGGCCTATTTTAATGTAAAAGAAAATAAAAAAACATCCGCTTAGATTGAAAGTAGAATGAATTTGTTTTATTTTAAATTAAGCATAGAGTTTATAGTTTGCAATTAGCTTTTGAATTGTTTGTAGCTTTGCTATGCATTCAATTTGCAAAATCCGTATTCTGCTCGCTGTTTTTATAGGCTTCTATTTCTTGTTGCGCTTGCTCAAGCTCCTCGCGCAAATTAGCATATTTCTGTTGTAATTCCCTTTCACGCTCCATCTGCCGACGCACATCCTCTTGCAGCGACTGGAAAAAAGAAAAATTATTAATTAGTATAATGGTGAAGTAAGAGCAACATCACCACCGTATACCTCTAAACGCCTGGGTATGGCCACTGCCTCCTGCTCGGCCAGAAATTTGAACGTTGACAAGGCCAGTGAATTTTGCTCGATTTGATCGTATGTGTCTTGCAACTGCTTGATCATTGCCTGTGCGCGCGCTTGATAGCCGCCGGTTAAGATTTTTAGTTTCTTTTCAATTTTGGCGCAACGCTTCGCCTCCTTAGCCATATGGCGCCGGTTTTGCTCCAATTGCTTCTCGGCCGATTCCAAACGGTCTTTCTTGCTTGCCAAATTTGCGCGCGTATATCGGTTTTGCGACGGCAAATAAAGCACCTGGCCCAAACACTCTTGCCACACTTGCGAGTAGACATCCATCGGTAAATCGCCATGTCCCATGCCCTCTTTAACAACTTCCATTTCTTCTTTGATCAAGTTTCCCGCCTTCTCTAAATCTAGCTTTTTGAATTCTTCATAGGGATTCGATTTGAAGTAACTTTGTAGCTGTTCAATTTTGTTTTGTGATTGTCCTGGCACTGGATCTTTCACCGAATCATATAAAAGCATTGTGATCATCTCATGTTTAATCAGCTCTTCGGCTTTTTGCATATCAGTGAGATTTTGCTTTTCAGATTGAGGGCGCAAAATCTTGGTGTTGACTTCAGTTGGACGCGGCAGTTGGCGTTGAATAGCCTGTGAACGTTTCTCCAGCTCCCGCTTGCGTTTGATATTTTCCTCTGCTATTGCGCGGGCGTCTACATCTGCTTGGTCCTCGACCACGTTTACCGTGGTTGCCTCAGAAGGTTCTTGATCGTCATGCTCTGGCACAACAATTTCGTAATCATTGCGCGGAGCAGGCAGCGTTGCTAAGCCTTCGCGTAAGGAGCTTTTCAGTTGTTTTTGATAGTTTTTATATATTGCTGGCGTATCGCCGACGTTTAAATTGTCTTCTGGGTTAATGCTTAGTTTGTCTCGAACGAGTATGGGGGTTTGACCCAAGCCAGCGTGCGGTGTTTTGCCTACTGGCACAAGTGCATTGGAAGCCGGGGTCGCGAATCCAGGTGTGCCGGCCTCGCCTCCGCGTTGTGTTCTATACATAAAAAAAAATGTATACAAAATTTTGCTCACTAATGTATTCTCAACTTTATGGATACTGACCTGAATGGTGTGGCAATTACAGTGTTGGGTGTTGCAATTGTAGCTGATTTTGGTAGTACTCCAGAGAAATCGGATTCGTGTAATGGTGTGTTAACCCCACCTTTTAATGGCGTATCTACGTGTGTCAGGGCCATCATATTTTGGGCCTCCTGCATTATGCGATCGGTAAATGGCGCAGGGGTGCGTGGCGTCGCTGTAACTTGCGGTGTTATAGAGTAATCGGCCAATAGTGCATCTGTCGTTTCAACTCCACTTTCACCTGCGACCTCCTTAGCTACTTCACTAGCACGCCCAAGCTTGACAACCTGCTGTAATTCCTGATCTGAAATCTGCGGTTGAGGCAGCACCAACTTCGATCGTTTCCTTTCGGGTTCCAAATTTTGTAGCATAGCTAAGGGCATGTCGTTCTCCTTGCGTTGCTTCAGTTTCTGCTTATCTTTCTTTCGCTCTCGCTCTTCCTTTTCTGAGCGCAACTCACCATCTAGATCTTGTTGACGCATCTTGTTGAAGTCCGGCCCAAGTTTTTCGACGTTTTCTTCTGATGTATCGTAGAATCCGATAGCCGGACGTTTTTCGAATGGGATTTCTGCATTATAGTCAATGCCTTTGATTCGTTTTCGGTTGCCGCTGCCAATACCCGCAGCACGAAGCTCTCTACGCTTCTGCAACGCTGCCAAACGTCGAGCCTCTTCTAACTGTTTTTCGCGAGCCTTGCGCTTAGCCTTCTTGCCTTGTGTGTTGGCAAGACGTGCACGCGCTTCTGATAGCATTTCCAATTCTAATCAAAAACCAAAATATGTATGGTTTAATTAATGTAATAATTTATAAACGAAAATATGTACAAACCATCTTCGTCCATATCTTTTGGATCGGGGCGGGCAGGTTTTGTCTCTGGATTTGGATCGATTTCACCTGGCTTTAATTTACGTGGATCGTCTCCAGCATCCTCCCCATCTTCCTTGCGTTGAGCTTGGTCGCTGTAAGTAATAATGTTAATATTACTCACACAATTGTGCATGTTCACTTATAACTTACAGCAAATATTCATATCGTTCCAAGCACTGCGCCGCCGTTCGTCCAATAATAGGCGCGATTGTACGCCATTGCGTGGGCATTAGCTTAGCCAAATGCAGCAATTTTTCATCTTCCTCCCGTGACCACTCGGTCTTCTTAATGCTGGGATCTAGCCACTCGTACCAGCGGGCCTTGCACTGTTTAGCGGACTTACGATGCAGAAGGGACGCAATACGGGACCATTGATTTTTGCCATATTTCATAACCGCCGCTTTTAGAATTTCATCCTATAAATCAAGACATTTAGTTTAGCCCGACGACCACAGTAGCTCATCGAGAACTTACCTCGGTGTTCCTCCACACCCCACCTTTTATCATGATTCGGGGCATTTTGCTGTATTAGTTAAATACTTTTTTTTTTAGGGATTTGAGTAGGTTGGCCGGTTTACAAATAGTTAAATACTTGAACCTGTCTCAAAAGTTGATTGTTTATATCCAAATCGGGTTTTCCGGATAACTCCTGACTTTTGTCCAATTAAAAGCACAGTATATACCATGATTCAATAATACAAGGTTCGATAAACTGACAGTTGTCCCTCTC